TATCATGCAGTTTAATGAAAAGTGAAAAAACGATATTTAATACGTGCGCCGGGTATATAAAGTGCGTTTTCGCCCGAACTTATACTTCTTTATATATTCTCATTTTTAATTACTTTAATACATGAAATTATCGGTATGATTGAACATATGATACTTGTATATACTCGTGACTCAAGGGCGTTAAAATATCTTGAAAACACCGCATCAATTACGGTTTTTGAGCTTATAGTTTGAGCATTTCTATTTGTTTATATTCCTAAATTTAGTGTTTTTTTCGGAATATAATCTGTGGTTCATGTAAATGAGATTTTTGGAGAGTTGTGTAGAGATTGAAGTTGCAAGATTTTATCCGATGCTTTTTTTTTTGTTCCGTATGCTTTGCTGTTACTCACGTTTTACTCTCACTTCAGAGAGGGATTTTGCTGTTTGACCTTTTTTCCAGGATTTTACACAAATTTTACTCCTACCGATACCAAAGATGTATACACATAAATAAAAAAATGCTTGTCGTTATGAATTGAACCCGAGACCTACAACGTGGTAATCGAAAACGCATCTATTCAGCTACAGTAGCTATAGCTATATATATGTATATTGACACAGCAGGGGAAAAATGAGTTCTTAAATTTATTTTCAAAATTTTTATTTTATTAAATTTTCAAATATTGAAGTTTCACAAAAAAATATTCACTATATTTTGAAACTATTGACTACACTACGGTAGTCGACGCGATAGCAAGCAACAAAAATACATGAATACGTGTTTTGAAGATATTGTTATTATATGTAACAGGCAAAACGGATCGAGATAGAAAGTAAAGAGAAATCGATTAAGCGGTGACAGTCTGTCCGTCCGTCCGTCCGTCTGTGCACACGATAACTCGAATAAAAATTGAGATATATTAACGAAACTTTGTATGTGCACTTCTTTCGGGCGTAGGACGAGTGGCGTTGAAAATGGGCAATATCGGAAAATAACCACGCCTACCTCCCATGTAACGGTAATTTTCAGAAATACGAAAACTGCGATATTTTAGTAACTGCTGAAGATTTTTCACTCAAAATTGATATTTACTCTAATTTTTAGACGAAAAATAAGAATATTACAAATTTTTGGAAAATGAGCATTGCCACGCCCATTTATGGTTACATGTGTATATCTTGGTAAGTGCTGCACCAATTTCTTCCAAACTTGGCACAGTTGTTAGCCTTAGTACAACATACCAAATCGCTGAAAATTTAAAAAACCGGACAATAACCATGCCCACATCCCATATAACGGTAATTTAGAGAAATACGAAATCTTCGATAAATCAGTCAATATTAAAGATAATATATTTTAATTGATGGTTGCAACAATTCTTTACCAAGATATACGTTTATGATAAAATTTTGGAAAATGGGCGTGGCACCGCCCACTTATGATCACATATATGTATCTCGGTAACCGTTCTACCAATTTGTACCAAACTCGGTATGGTTATTGTGCTTGCCACATAAAAGCAAAACGTTGAAAATTATTGAAATCGGACTAAAATTGAGGCCGCTTTTCATATAACGGTAAATTTCAGAAATGCTTGAAACTTCAATGTTTCGAAAAGGTGAAAAATGTGTAGTCGGAAAGGTGAAAATCATATATTTAATGTTCGGCTCCGCCCGAACTTAGACTTTCTTACTTGTTTTCAATATCGTTTCAACAACTATCGTGTCAAAGTTACGTGATGCATGTCCTGATCAAACAGTTGATATTTTCTCGAATATTTTTTCTAATTTTTTAAATTTTGATAAATTTTCCATAAAGTTTGAGACTTCAACTTACATGTTTTTTGTTATACAATTGACTATATGTGTTTGAAAAAATATATATAAATTAAGTACGGAAAGAAAAAATTTTCAAAACTTGTCAATACATTTTACTACTATTTTTGTGAACACAACTGTACAAACATTCGCAATACCTTTGATTTGGTTTAAACTAATGAATTGTTATATTGATAATGTTATATGTATTTAAACGCCTTTTAGTTATTTTTTGTTACATTAATGCCCTGTTATTTGATTGCTATATTGCACTATGTGACATAACTAAATTTGTTGGCCCGGTATTGAGTAAAACCACAGGTAAGTGATAGTTTTCGATGTCAATAATACTATGCCAATGGCTGTTTTCGAGTTTAGCTCAAATAACAAAGATATCCTTAATTGAATCCTTGCACACAATTTATTGTTTAATTAGGTTAAGTTCTTGAAAAACATACTTAGAATAATATTAACTTCAAATTCAGCGGGAAATTATACATTAGAATGCATATAAAAATGTCGCTAGTCGGACAATTTTTTCATTTCTGTAAACTTGCGATAAAACTTGTAGTCCTAGTGCAACGCTCAATACAAATGGGCGAAAGTGAAATGAGTTTTAAAAAAACAACGAAATACAATAAAATTAGCCTACAGCGCCATCCAGCGATAAGCAGATAATAAAATAACTTCAAAATTTAATTCCTCGCATCATAACCATGTATTTCATGCATGTATATGCATATATGTATGTATGTATATCCCTATGTGTATATACAGGTTGTCCCAGAAGTAACGTGCCAAACTTTAGGGCAAGGTAGGTGGGGGGGTGAGCTCCCTGATAAACAAAAAATTTTCAGGTAAAAGTGTCACCGTTTTTGAAATATTTATATTTTTTCGAATTTAAAAAAAATCGTGCCTTTCCATGTGTTTTCTTTAACTGCAACTACAAACCGGGCAATACTTAGTAAATTTTTTATGTAAAATACTTCCAGATAGTTGCGTCTCCATACTCAAATGCAATGTAGTTAAAATATATTAAGGAACCATGGACCTAGTTCCACTTCCTCTAAAACAGCTTCAACATCTACCGTTGCGGGACGTCCTGTTTCGCCGCCACGCCTTCCACGTATGCGACCTTAAAAAATTGAAAAATGATATTTAACAAGCAAGCAAACAAGAAAGGTGTAAAAATCACTTACCTTCATATATTTCTCTATGGGTCCGGGCGAATACTTCACGACCCGGATGTCGACGATTGGGGTATCGCTCTACATAGAGTCTTTGAGCAGCTCTGGCATTACAGCAAGCTTCCCCGTAAATTAGGTGAATATCCGCATATTTATGCGACGTATACTGCGTGTTCTCTGTCAATGTTCGAAGGGTCCAATTTCACAAAATCCACTTTCACTAATTCCGGTAAGTAACATAAAATAATGTCAGAAGCAAGTAATTATGTACCTTTGTACTATTTAGCATGTCATTTGACGGTAACAAGAGCAAATTCAATTTAAATCTATTAAATACATTCTAGCGTGTCTCAGTCCTTTACCCACAAAAGCGGCTATAACTTTTTTTTTCTATTCAAAACAGTAAGTGTGGCACCTTTCTGAAATCTTTATTAAATGAGCAATTTTTTTATGTAATGCAAAGTTATAGCTCAGTACATTTTTTTCACCCGAGAGAGTCAAAGTTGGGGAAGAAAATATCAAAAAGTTAAAAATCCAGAAATAGTCTTAATTTTATGATGGTTCCTTAATATATTTTAACTACATTACATTTGAGTATGGAGAGGCAACTATCTGGAAGTATTTTACATAAAAAATTTACTAAGTATTGCCCGGTTTGTAGTTGCAGTTAAAGAAAACACATGAAAAGGCACGATTTTTTTTAAATTCGAAAAAATTTAAATATTTCAAAAACGGTGACACTTTTACCTGAAAATTTTTTGGGAGCTCACCCCCCCACCTACCTTCCCCTAAAGTTTGGCACGTTACTTCTGAGACACCCTGTATATATATATATGTATATATGTATATATATATGTATATATGTTCACGCGTGTTATTTCAGCAAAAAATTATTAATTTAATTAGAGGCACCCTGTGTTTACTTGTTATTGTTAATGGTTGCATACATTTAGGCACATGCATAGTAAGAG